CTTCCACTACACACCACATCACATTTTCTCCTAACATCCTAGCCTCTAATTGGCACTTCTTTCTTCACTTTTGAATAATTTGCCTGAACTCTGGACAACGCATTTTATCCTCTCCTACAGCAGAAGTTTCTAGAACATTCTTTTGCTGAACTTTCATAAAGCCATCCCCTTCTTGACTTCTATGATACCATTCTTCCAGCTGTCCCCCTCATCCTTTCTCAGTATTTTTCCTTCTCAATAATATTCCCTAAATTGCCTCCTAACACTTTAAGTGTTAGCATTCCCCAAGGTTTCAACCTCAATCATATTTTTCAGACTGCATATATTTTCCCGAGCAATCCCTTGTAGTTTCATGACTTCATGTGACACTTATGACTTGGTGACCTCTATTTTCAGAGAAGCAATTTTCCATAATCTAAAACTATTTTCAGTTGCTTCCAAACCACTATCACCGGTGTAATACACACAAACAAACTAAACTTACCATTTCCTAACATTCTAACTAGTTGCAATTTCTATTATCCTGTTCATTGTAATCCATGAAGTTATTCAAGCCAAAACCCTCAACTGTCATTAAATTCTCTTGCAGTCTCACATTAAATTCTCAAGTATTCATGAAATCCTCATTCCTAAATAGATCTTTAATCTGTCTCCTCTGCTCCATCCCCATATAATACTGCCCAAGCTAAAAAACCCACCTTCCCTTACCTAGACTACAACAAAAGCATCCTAACTGGTTTCTTTTATTCAATTCTAACCCACCCTGAGGAATCCTTTCTTCATGGTGGTTGGGGTGGGGGTGGGAGGATATTTTAATCTCTATATAAAATATTTCTGTAGCTTCTTATCACATATAAGAAAATCCACACTCCCTAACATGAATACCAATACTTTATTATTTAGCCCCTGCATATATTTCCAGCTTCATCACTCATCGTCCCTCTTATTTATTCCAGAAAAACTGAACTAACTGTAGATCTGGGGTGTCTTTAGACAGACTGACCCAGAAATACTTTATAATAATTTGAAAATGTACCTATCTTATTATTTTAAAATTCCACTTTTATATGTATACTTGAAGCAGTGGTTCTCAAACTTTTTTATTAGAATTACATGAAGAGTTAATAAAAATATAGAGGTGGCAAGTAGGTTGAAGGACAGGACTTGGCCTTTGTATTTTTATGAAGTGCCCTAGGTGATTCTGTAACCTATCAAAGTTTATGGATTACTGCCTTAAAGCAGGGGCGGGCAAACTATAGCCTAAATATCAAATTCAGCCTCTGCCTGTTTTTGTAAACCAAGATTTTTTAGAATACAGTCCACCAAATAGGTATTGTGTATGGCTCCCTTTATACTAGAGCAGCAAGGCTGAATAGCTACAACAGAGATCAGAGATCATATGGCTGCAATGCTGAATATATTTACTATTTATCCATCTACAGAAAAGTTTGCTAAGCCTAGAGGAACACTTTGCACTGAAAGACACATATAAGGATATTCACTGCGGCAATGCTTGTCATAGTGAGATTTTGAAAAATTCTTGATATACATAAATAAGCTAATAAACATATTAAGGATATACACATATAATGAAATACTATACAACTGATAAAATTTACTAGATCTTTATTAACATGAATGGAATTAAAGAATAAAAGAATGATATGCATAGTATGATATTTTTAATGCATTTTTATACATACAACATGTACAGAGATATTAAAAAATAAACTGAAATAATATATACCAAATTCATGGTAGTCTTTGCCTATGAGAAGGAAGCAAAAACAAGACAGGGAGGAGAACAAAAGAGATCTCAACTCTATAAATTGTTTTCATTAAAAAATTTAAAATAAAAAAGGGACACAGATCTGAAGATTTATAAATACTAGAATATGGAGTTGTTCGCCATAATATATTCTGTGGGTTTTGTTTAACTCAAAATTAAAACCAGAAACAACCTAGAATACCAAGTTATAGGGAAAAGTAATTGAACATTCGCATTCCAACACAATGGAACGTAATATAGCCTTGAAAAATGCACATGAAGAGAATATAACATAAGAAATAATTGACTTAATTATCCTGATTAGCATAGGATTCAAAGTTGTCCATGCAGTAAGGTTATAATTATATTTTAAACAATAAAAACTAGCTGTAATCCTTTTTCACTTCGTTTGTTGGCTGACTTATTCATTTGGTTGTTCTTTTAAATCAATATGTATGCATACAAAAATTACTAAAAACAACTGTCAACAGTGTATATGTTTGATTTTATAATATTCTTTTTCTTTGCCTTTTATTTTCCAAATAATATCAACTGAATACATATTGAATGAATATGTATGAATGAATTGAATACATAAAATGAAATGCCTTCACTTTAAATGACTTTGTGTGTGGCAGATACAGCCAACTGTACACTCACAATCCACTCTCCTCTTCTTCCTGTATATTCAGTAAAACACTACATTTCCCAGCCTGTCACGCACACGAAGGTGGCCATATGATACAGTTCTAACTCCCAGTGAAATGTCAAGGGGAGCAGCATCTTAGAAAGCTCTTTGAAGGGGAGTAGACCTGACTGGCTTTCACCTTGGCCATTTCTCCTTCACCTACTTCTTTTTTTGAATGATAATGTGAAGCAGCTGAGAAGGTGAAGCAGCCATCTTTAAACAGGAAGACAAAAGCCACTCACAAACAGATGGCAGAGTAGAAACTTAGGGGAAGCCTGGATTCCTGAAGGCATTATACAGCCACTGCACCACCCCTGGACTGCAAACCTCATACTTTCTGTCACATGAGGAAAAAAAAGAAAAGAGAAAAAAAAAACTTTACTTGTTTAAACCTTTCTCTTATATTTTGCCAAATGCAACCTTTAATTGATACATCACGCTAAAATAAAATTTTAACAAATTACCCCACTGAAAGACACTTAGAAGATAATATAATCTATCTTACCTTCAGAGGAGAAAAGTGAACCTCAAGAAAAAAAAGGTTGGAGGCATCAACCTAATATCAGAACAAAGACTAAAGCTTCACTCTCACATATGTGAATAATTTTTTCCAAAATATTAAAATCACACTGAACTTTACATTTCAAAATGTCTGAAACAGGCGGGGTATGGTGACTCACACCCGTAATTTTGGGAGGTGAGGCAGGTGGATTGCTTGAGCTCAGGAGCTTGAGACCAGCCTGGGACACATGGTGAAACATCATCTCTACTAAAAATACAATAATTAGCTAGGCATGGGGGCATGAACCTGTAGTCTCAGCTATTCAGGAGGCTGAGGTGAGAGGACTGCTTGAGCTCAGGAGGCAAAGGCTGTAGTGAGCTGAGATTGAACCACTATACTCCAGCCTAGGTGACAAAGTGAGACCCTCCCTCAAAAAAAAAAATGCTGAATGGTAAATTTTACATTATGTATATTTACCACAATAAAAAAAAGATAAAATTATATTAAAATAAAGTCCACTTTAATGATATAGTTTGAAGATAATATTTTATATATTTTTGTCAAATAACATTTAAAATATTACACATATACTAGTCAACGAGTGCCCATCCTTTTGCTACCCATAAGCAAATCTGCAGTTTGAAGTTACTCAAAATTAGTATTCAAACTAACACATCAATTTCATAAGTATGTCTGTACAGATTACTCCTAAACACTAAACAATCCACAACAAGGATAAAGAATCGGGAAATTTACAGATGGTGTTTGAATTCATACCCTATCCCACAAACACAACTAATTTAAGCCCTTTTGCCTAATTGTCAATTTAACAGGAAGCCAAAAATAGGTCTGCATTACACAATTATATGTCTAAATTTCACAAATATTATTCTTTATATCAAAGAATAAGACTTAGTATATCTTTTGTCCTTAGCTAAGAGGGTCTCTTGACTGGATATAGGATTGTTGGATCCCAGTGCTTTTTGTTTAGCATTTGGACACTTTTATCGCTGACTCCTTGGCTAGATTTCTAATGTCTGCTGCTCAGACATAACCCTCTTGGATTCATGAGTACCAAACACTCATGAAAGCACCTATCCAGAGAATAGAGTACTATTTATACTGAACTTTCATTCTCTTTCCTTTCTGCTTAGTCTGTGGTCTCACTTTTCCTTGTGTTAATATTTCTTCAGTCCTTTACTGTGCAGAAATATAATTCTCTGTCTCTGGATCTAAATTATTAAACCTCTTAGAGAACCACATTTTCTTCAGAAATAACACAAATACGTCAAGGAAAATAAATGTAGTTTTGCCAACATGAATATGTTCCAGAGTCTCAGGTAGTAGTTAGAAAACCAATTAAATGCTCCTTAGATATGCCCTAAGGTATTTTACCAAGTCATACCAGCACTTGTTGCTACTCTCCACGAAGGTGGTGATACCCACTCTCGTGAGCTAGGACTGAGCCTCAGTTATCAAGAAGCAGGTAGCTAGAATATTTTATATCCAGTAGGTACTAATAAAATTCTACCTGCAATTAAGAAAAGGCACTAAGCTTAACACAGCTCTAGCAACGATTTCTAAATGCCACAAGAGGGCGATATAACTCTATGACAGCACACGGGAAAACATACAATTTTTCGAATTAAAAAAGAAAAATTCCTGACTTTCCAAGATATGGAAATAAAGGCATGTCTGGGTTGAAAATAACAAGTGTGCAAAAACACTTATTTCTCCTTGATCCATTATTAGCGAAAACACAGTATTTGTCTATATCTTTCTCTCTAAAGGTTGGCAGTGATTCAAAACGCAGTATCCACACATGCTCTGCTCTTCAGGAGGCCTGTGAATATAGCTGGCAACTTAGTGCTCCACCTATAGCTACTTGAAAATTATTTGTTGTTACTTCAAACAGGTCCCCTGAAAAAACTAGTTTATTTGGACCTTGCCCTAGTCTTCAAACTTCTGTTTGAAATACGTCTGAAAAAAATAGACATAATTTCCTTCAATTATTCTTTGTGTTTAATCATATTTCTACTCACCACTGGCATTCGTTCATAGACACGAATAGAAGATAGTCTATCTAGAATAAATCAAATACGAACACTTAATGTTTTATCAGTTTTAACTCAAATTATAAAACATACATATGATTGGTTTTGTACCTGAAGAGTTTCCACGGATTTTTTCCATCTTCTCCTTGAGATAAACAATTTGCTTTTCTAGTTGATCATTTAATTCAAGTTGTGTCTCATAACGGGTTTTCCATTCACTACCTGAGTAAAAACGGGGAAACAATCAAGATAACCCCAACACCTCTCATTTATTCATTAAAATAACATGAAGAGCTTAATCTTAGTCTATTACTACATTTTACTTTATTGGCAATACAGATCAACTAGAAGGAAATAATTATTAAGTCTATATTTCTGTTAGTAAGATTTTCTAGATTGCAAGAATTAGACCCACACTCAGGCTACCACACAGCCAAACCTTATTACAACTACTACAATTCCTCTTCTTCCCTATTTCCCACCCCCTTTTTTCTTTTACTTCTTGTGCATCCTTACAATGAATTCAATTAGACGGAATATCAGGACATGTTTCTTTCCTTGGAACTTGAAATACCCATATATATAATATTCATATATTTCATATATGATATTTCATATATATATCCATAAATACATATGAATATTTAAAGTTCCAAGGAAACTTGATATATTTATATATTTTATATATACTTATATGTACATAAAATATCCTAAACATTACTCACCTACCCAATGTCATGTTCATTCTTTTCCTTTGAAAGCAATTCTGAAGTCTGCTTAATAACTATCACTTATGTGTCTGCTGTGTGTAAAGCACACAATGCTTTACATACATTAACTAATTTAATCCTCATTTTAGAAATGTAGTTACCTATTTTACAAAGATGAGGAAACCAAGGTTCGAAGATGTCAAATAATATTCTTAAGATGACAGAGCTAATAAATAAGGGAAAAACCGGGTTTTAAATCCAGTTTTATCTGCCTTTGAAATCACATCCTCTTAACTGCTAAGCTGAAGGAACAATGTACATTTAGCTATCTTCTCAGGCATTTTCTCTTAACCTTAAGCATTTTTCTTTTGCTAAACCCCTTTAGCTATTAAAGTCAAAGCATTTTTCTTATATCTGGGGAAAAAGAAGAATACAGCCTAAAATTAAAAGGTCTTTGTTCAGATTCAAAGTCCAAAGCTAACTTTTTCTAGTCTTTAAAGTCAGGCTTTGTAGAGGGCAAAAAGATGGCTTCTTTTTCAACTTTAAATGCTCTTCACATGTCTGAAATAACTGCTGCTACATAACAGTTGGTGGAGGAGTTAAGGAGAAAGAGTATTAGCACATACCACTACCAACCTCCTCAGCCCAGACACAGGTCTCCCTTACACCCTCATCTTTATGCAAATGTGGCCTACCAAAGGGGCTGGAACACCCTCCCATACTGAAACTGAAAGTCATTAACCCAAAAGCTTTGGAAAGGAGCAAGAAGAAAGGAGAAGCCCTGAAAGACTAAACATTTACCCAAAAGACACAGTAGAGCCCAGCTGCATGGTATCATCTTTATAACTTGCTACCTAAAGTCTCCCTTTGTCATGGTATCCCCTTTCCTACCATGGGAATGGATGCTTCAGACCAAGATGAGAATGGTTACCAAAAAATTAAAAATGCAATTTATTTTCGGCACCTCTGAGTACAGTTTATAAATTCTGACACCATTTTATTTTAAAATATTATTGACTTTTAAGTCAATCATCAAATATAGACAAGTCAGTCAGGCATGGTGGCTCACACCTGTAATCCCACCATTTTGGGAGGCTGAGGTCAGCAGTTCCAGAGCAGCCTGGTCAATGTGATGAAACCCCATCTCTACTAAAGAATACAAAAATTAGCCGGGTGTGGTGGCAGGCGCCCGTAATCCCAGCTACTCAGGAGGCTGAGGCAGGAGAATTGCTTGGACCCAGGAGGCGGAGGTTGTAGTGAGCTGAGATCGCACCACTCACTGCACTCTAGCCTGGGTGACATCGGGAGTCTGCATCTCAAAAAAATAAAAATTTTTCTCAGAAAAACAAAAATAAAATAAGATAGATAGACCGACCGACCTATTAGTATACAATTGTAACCAAATGCAATCCGGCTGCTCGCCACTTACAGAGTCCAATTAATAAGAGCAAGGTCTGGTGGAAAGTGACTTTATTAACCCCAACATCAACATGGGACAACACAAAAGACCCAACAGAGACACCAAAACAAGACACATAGACCTTGTAACCAGCACAACTCCTGCATGCCTCCCATATTAAGTTTCCCTTTGTAAGCCCCCTGCCTTTCCCCTAGAAATTGGACATGGTTATTTTGGATGGGAATCTGGCCACTTGTCCATTATTGGTTTTGGTCAATGAAGTCACTTTCTCTCTATCAGACCTCGCTCTTGTTAATTGCACTATGCAATCAGCACTTATAATTGCTGGTTACAATTTTAGTGTCCCGTATGGTAAGTGCTGTATGCTCCAGGGCCTGAGCCCGCCAGTCTGGTTTCTGTCAGATGGGGCATAGGGCCACCTGTGAATACTAGTTGCTGACAGCTAGCTGACCCATGGCTAGGATATTAGGGAATTTCTCAGCAGTTGCCAAGAATCTTTTGTCTTAGGGATCCTCTCTTTTCTTCCTGCTATGGTGTCTGCTACCTTCAATGCTTCACTGGTGCAAAGTGACCTCTGGAGAAGTTGACAAACTTTGGAACTAGGTACATTAGTCAGAGTGTACCCAACCACCGTCTGCCTCTTTTGGGGTGTCGCTGGGGCTCTGCTTTATTTAGACTTGGCTGCCAGTGACACTATATGAGCATTTTATGCATTGGTTTTGTTTGTATTTGCTGTAACCTTGGGCCTTTGCTCAGTTCTGACTCAGTTGCCTGGGGGTAGCCATTTGAAACTGAAATGAGGGATGTGGGAGTCTACACAGCCCCTTAACCAGGGATTTGTTTGGAGGCACACCACCTGTTTGTCCGTGTGTGAGATCTTTGTGCACCCTGATCTCTTTCTCTCTTTCCCCTTTTTTCCAACTTCATCATCCTGATTATCTCAGAAGCCATCTACAGTCCTACTCTTCTCAGCCAAAACCACCCTTAGCTTCCTCTGGCTCGAAACAGTTTACCTTGACTGGTGACTTGAGGAAATGGGAGGGATTCATCCCACACCCTGCAGGTCTGGGGTGCTGAGGCTCTCCCTAAGAGGAGATAAACAAGCGAGGTAGGGGTACTGTGCAGTGGCTGGAAGGCTCATAAGCCTCCCTTCCTTCTTTTTTCTTTCCTCTTCCTGCCCACAAAACCTGACCTCCTTTCTCCTCTCCACTCCTTTCTTTTTATCTTTTCCTGTTCAAACCAGGAAACCAGTACTGAAGAGAAAAAACAACTTTCAACATCCTGGCCCCATTTTGTCATCCTCTTTGGGACTCCAGCTGATTACATATGGTCCATTTTTGTGTACATTTTAAACTGACGGGCAAATTACAGCAAGAAAAATTTAGAGCTCAAATAGTTAACCTGAAGCTACAGAGTTAAGTAGAGTCTTCTAAAGCTATCTTCTTCTCTTTTCTGCCTGCTTTAAATCTGCTGTTACTAAGCTGCTGGTGCTAAGATTCATTTATGGTCTAACTAGAATGTAAACACTGGAAAGTTGTTTGAAACTGAAAATAAAAAAACAAGGGTAAAAGGGGTTTAAAAAAATTGCCATAGAGACTGTTTTACCCAAAATTTTGGTTCACAGATTTCCTTGGATTACCTATTAGGGCAAACGAAGTTTGGCCATATGAACAGGTTTCAATTTTGTCAGAAAAAGAACTTGGAGCCAGCTAACTTTTGTATGTCTGTGAGTTTGTAATGCTATCTCATGGCTAGAGTTCCAAGGTAAAAGCTATTGGTTATTTCCTTGTGCATGTATGTATACATGTTTAGATATATTTATGTTATGTTCATGTATTATGTTCTGTGTTGTGTCTAGCATGCTATCAAATTGGCTTATAAGTAAACGAGTACTCAAAAATTAAGTCCAAATGCTTTTCAAGTGCATGTGAATCTTTAATAAAACTGGTTTTAAAATTATTGATAAAAATAGAAATGTCTTCAGAATTGTCCACATACGTTTTTACCTAAGTGGTTTTATATTTGTATCAGTGTGTATACTAAGCTGTCAAGGGTTGACATAAAGGTTCTAAGACTTTACACTCAGCCAAAAACAGAATAATCTTTGTGTATTTTTTTTTGACAAATAAGATTAACTTAAGATTGTTAGTTCAATGAAACAGCTAAATCTTCTGAGTCATCAGCAAACACATTTAATTTTAAGGTTCTTAATTAGGTGCTCACTGTTTACTGTTCAGATTTTAAAAATGGTTAATAGGGAAATTATTATTATTATTATTGAGACAGAGTCTTGCTCTCTTGCCCAGGCTGGAGTGCAGTGGCGCAATCTTGGCTTACTGCAAGCTCCGCCTCCCAGGTTCACACCATTCTCCTGCCTCAGCCTCCCAAGTAGCTGGGACTACAGGCGCCTGCCACCATGCCCGGCTAATTTTTTTGTATCTTTTTTAGTAGAGACGGGGTTTCACCGTGTTAGCCACCAGGATGGTCTCGATCTCCCGACCTCATGATCTGCCCACCTGGGCCTCCCAAAGTGCTGAGATTACAGGCATGAGCCACTGCGCTCGGCCCAGTAATAACTTTAAATAATGATTAGTTTTGTGTAGTATCTCAATTCTCAGATGTAATCTAGATAAACTATTAAAAAATGGAAAGAGTGAATACATGTAAATGAGATAAATGCCTGTAAGTGGACTTTTTATGTAATTTTAAATCTTAAAATTGTTCTGAATTAAATAATAGATGCTCCAATCCAATTGATAATAATTAGATTTCTGGGACAATTCCAATTAAGAAAAGATTATGATGTGGGAAAACATACTTCTAAAACTGTAGAATGGTTTCATCCAGAAAATGCTAACATCTGATAAACAGTTCAGTATTTCTTGCTTCCCAAGTTTTCACTAAAATTTAAGGTTACTAAGAATAAGAATTCTAATATATAATTCCATAAGTTGTGTTTTCATTTTTTTAAAAAGAGTAATTTAAGTAATTCAAAGGTTATTTAAAAGTTATTTCTAAAAGAAGATAAAAAAAAATCAGTGAGTAGGGGAGATATAAAGAAAGTTGTGGATACAAAAATGTGTTTATAATAA